CTTATCGTAGTCCAGAATCCACTTTTGAACGGTAGATACGGTTACAGCTCTCTTCTTTGAAGGTATGTCGATGCTACTATCAGAAGTACAGCTGGATGGGTCACAAGAAGAAGAGGAGCAAGCGCTTGAAAAAGAACGTTTCGACATTTGTGACCATAATTGACAAAAGGGCCCTTATGGCGGATTTTAAAATTGATCATTATAATGGAAAATATCAACCTGGGAGTCCTTTGTTAGACAATCATTGTTTCTAAAAGTTTCATGGTAACTTTTTGCATCCTGTGAAGTAATTTTATGATAAATGGGGCTCAGGAAGTTGGATTTCTTAGGCTGGAAAGACAAATTTCACTATCCGCCATAAGGTACCTTTTGTCAATTATGGTCACATTTTGTTATAATAATAACGAATTAATAATAATTAATTAGCGATAACGTGTTAGGACATATTTACCGACCACATAAAATTTGATGGGATAACACATAATATTGACCGGAAATTGTCCGATGACCGACTGTAATTAAGAGCACTGACCTTAAGGAGACAATTGTTTGCGGGTATTTAATTTAGCGATTTAAAAAAATCGCTAACGTAAGTCCACGCTAACTTTAATTCTGATTAACTCTAATAATAGCTTAACTTCATTGAAAGCGGGTGTGGTCACAATGAATAAAATGGTGGCCGTCAGCAAGTCTGAGCTTATTTGCAACAAACGGTCAGCAAGATAATACTAAAATGCTGCCCAAAGACTTCTATATTAGTTAGCCTAGGTTAACAAGCAGATGACAGTCTTCTTTGTTCAGTGACTGCTTCTAACTGTAAGCAAGATAAGATTACATGTTACTGGCTACTGTATTTAAATACAGTCCACTAAACCGACCTCAATCTTACATTTTTGTTTTCAGTGAGTCAAATGTACAATTATATGGTGAACATGAAAATAACAAAAATTAACAGACCACAAATAATAACAATAAGGCTCACTTGCAGTTCCAAGATATATATTATATAGCTTCTCTATAACTCCATTATCTTCATAATCACTATTATGCTTTAATTTCTGATCACATAATTCATAAACACTGCATGTTAATTAAAATTAAATAATTTATAATCAATTACTAATAATAATAACAAATAACCTGTGTCTTGGGTCACATGATCCAATTATCAAATGAATTAACATTTCATTAATTGCAAACAATTCAGATGATAGTAAGTGAATAGTAGCAACTTTCATCTAAAAATTAAATTAGAAAAAAGAGTGTAATAATAGAGTCAGGAAAAAATCATTAGTAAAATGTTTATCATTCCGCTGTAATCAACATACAGTAAATGTACATGCATAGTAGAATGCATAATTTTTATCAATCAAAACCTGCTGAAAAATGTGGTAGGCCCTAATTTTTAACCCATTACATGTAATTTGATACATACAAGGACATCACCTTTAGCAATTGAACACAAACCAGCTGCTAAGTGTCTTCCAAAAAATCTCAGACAACCACATTGTGACCAAATTCAACACTTTGTTAAGTTTGTAATAAACCATGCACAACCAATACATGTACCACTATTGAAAGATTACAAGTTATTATCTTACTTTTTCAAGTGTGTCAGGATCAACTGGTTTATCAGATACTATTTGTTTATATTGAGATACTGTGAGTCCTGGTGGAGGCAAATCACCTTCATAGCTATGCATACAGAAATAGTAATAATAATAATAATACGTACAATACATGTACATGTACATATAATACTGTGTAAAGAGCTTCTTTTCAGAAATAAATTTTTGGTGTCACATAGCCAAGGAGGGTCTGGTCAACTGACCATTCCTCATTTGTTCTGTTTCACACAAAAATGGGTGAATTGAATGCGTGAACTGACTGCTTGCTTTTTTGTTGCATGGAGCTCAAGAGGAGGACCTAAAAGGCAAAAAGTTTTGTTCATTGCCCTTGCCCATGCCATCGTCCTGTCAGTGTGTGTGAGTATTCGCAAGATGTCGTCTTCTTCCCTGTTTATAAACCCCTGCCGCCCTTTGCTAAGGACTTGAGGAGTCCCACTGTCAATCAAAACGCTTGGTAAAAGTTGTTTTTCGTCAGTTTACGACTTTATCTGTCTTTTCAGAGGCAGCATGCACCATCAATGTTGATAAATGTACACGACAAAGGTAATAATGCATTAGAGAACATCAAACGATAGATGAAAGCTTTTATTGATTGAATATGTAGGAAATTTGTCTTAAATTCTTAATTTCTGAAATATGAAAGCTCAAAAATCACTTACTACGTCAGTTTACTGAGTTTACAAGAAGTGTCGCTCTCCAGAAAGAGCATCTAGAGTCTCTTATAGATGCTTACAAAGAAGTTGGTATAGAACAAATAGAGCCTAATTATTGTGTCATCAACTGCATATAAGTGTACAAAACTGAAGTTTTTTATCAGTAACTGGTATTAATATGCAGTAAGCGGTGCTTAATTTGAGACACACCTTTTAATTCAGCCACACCTTCAATTGCTGTAGCAAGCAATGCAAAGCTAAGTAAGCTAATAGTAACAGCAAATCATCAGCACTGTCTCTATAACTTTTGAAGAACAACATTAATGTTTCATTTGTGTTACGTTACACTGATTGTGGCAAGGGCTTGTGCTTTAGTGCACTCGTTTGATGGAGCTGGAAAGAGATACTGACTTTTGGAAAGAGCTTTGGTAGCACTTTAATTGGTGTAGCCAGTAGGCCATGAGAGGGAGAAGATGTGCATGCATACATGTATTTTTCACAGCTGTTGCTTTAGCTTTTGTCAATGAGGAAATGGAAGGAGTCAGTGTTACTGATACCAATTCATCCGTTTTTGGGTGAAGCATAACGAATGAGGAATAGTCAGTTGACCAGACCTACTCAGAGTGTGGTTTGGCTATGTGAAACTAAATTATGTCTACATGTACATGTACCATACATGCAATGTACATGTACATGTGTATGTGGAGACATGAAAAATTATAAATTAAGGGAAAATTAAATTTATACCAAGCATGACGGCTGAATAATGGAAATGGAAATTAAGAATAATTATGTAATTTTTCGAATTTTGAGTCAACAAGTAGATACAATTAATTATTGCCCTCTAACATGCAGTTGCAGTTTAATGCATGTAAAAATAGCTCATAACAATTATAAAACAAAAATTATTCAAAGCAAAAAGATTATAATTACCTGTATGGTATTAATAGCAATGTTAATTGATAACAGAGATAATATTCTTTCATGGTTCCATCAGGAGGGACCAGTGACTTTAATGCAGCTGCATCAGTAATAGTCAAATGAATCAGTGCTCCAGAATATAGTGAGAGTATACTACAATGAAAATTTGCTTGATTCATTACATGTACATGTACAGTAAATGCCATATAATTTGTAGGCAATAATTTTTTTTGCGACTTTTGCGTTTTGGAAAAATTCGTGAAATTATAATATGCAAAACAGCATGCTGAATTAATGTATAGTACGTGTGGTAAGTACCTGTACATTATTTTTATACGTAAACACAAAAACGGAGCCAAATTGTGAAATTTTGTACACAAAAAATACATGCACTTGTATATGGCATATACGGTATACTCTCAAGCCTCCAAAAAAAATCATTGCCAAAATTTACAGCTGTAATTGTATGTACCTATCAATTTGTTTCTTTGTTTTGTTATTCATTGATTTAATTAATAAAGGTAATATTTCAATTTGATCAACAGGACTCAATCTAGGTATCCCTATTCTCAAATATACTAATATGAAATTCTAAATTTATCAAAATAATAATAATAATAAACAATGTGGTGAATACTTGAACAAGAGGAGTAGCACCATCAAGTTGTTCAATCAATACAATTATTGGTAGTTGCACTTGAGAACGAGTTTGTAGCCTCTTTGTAATGTGACTTAATAATTCCATGGCCTATTAAAATAAAAAGGGTGAAAATGAGCAAAATCTCTCTGGACTTAGTCTCACAAGGCTTAAAAGGTTATAAGTACAATCCTTAAAAGGTAAAAAGAAATAATAAAATGGGTCAGCATGAGGGTGTCGTCAAAATAATTACAATGGGAGGACAAACTTTTTGGATACTAGTAAAAACTTTATCAAATAGTCAAATGCATAAGGTCTTTGTCTCCAAGGACTGAAAGAATATAAAGAACCTTCATAGTAGTAAGAACAACACTGAGTTGCACCATGAATACTATATTAAATCTTCCATATGACAGATTCAGGCACATGTATAGTGTATATGTAAGTCAGTAAAGCAGCTTTGATACAAAAAGCTACAACTTCAAAGAGCAAGGCTGCATCAACCTCTACCATTTAATTCATTTTTGACTGACCTAATGTACATGTACAGTACAACAGTCTTGAAAGATTCAGCCTCGTTGTTCTCTCACTCAATGATTTCCATACTGTATTCTGTTTTGCACTGCTTATACTAATAATAATTAAAATGGCAGGGTAAATTTTTGAGTTAATTGTCTAAAAAAAGAAGCTACAAGTGTATCTCAACAGCATCTCTAAGGTTACTCCATCAGCTTTGGAAACTGTGGCCTTAGATACTTGTTTCCAAGAACCTAAAAAATATAAAGAACTTGATATAAGTTTGGATCTAAGACTATACTCAAGATCAATAACAGAATTAAGGCCTTTTCAGATACGTTTACTTGGATCTTAAAATACATGTACATGTACACATGAAAGATAAAAATCCAGGATTAAGACAGGACTAGCATTTTTACAATTGGATTGAAGCTATAGATTCAGTCAATCCACATCTAGTGGTGGTTTGAAGTGGATTAAAGTAGATCGATCTTAATTAAATCATGACTTTAAGGAGCTTATGTAACTTAATTCACTTTTAATGTGAACACAACCAAAGAGGGTTCTCTTTTAGTAGGTTGTGACTCTGGATCCAAAGTGGACAAGTGTGAAAAGGCCTTTAAGGTAAGGAGAAAATCTTAATTAGTACACATTATAAGTTAGGTTTGGTTCTTATTAGACTTTTAATTTAAATCATAACTGTTTTTAATCATGACCCAGCCAAATAAAGCCCGGGATTTCGGGCAGCCTGCACAGCAATCAGCTAAATCATGATACTACAACCATGCTGGAAATTAATTACTGGCTTAGCCAGGGCAATAATCATACATGTATATGTACAATTGTAAATAAACATTGATGCTAATCAGGGATGTATCAAAATAAAATCAGACTTGAATCATGGATTTTGGGTAATAAGCTGCATTAGGCACACCTATGACAATCTTCAGATGTGTAGGACTCATTCTTGTCTCTTGTAGTGGTTGAAGATTGATTGTCCTATAGACCTCTTTAGTCGAGAAGTAGTAACTTGTAAATATCACTAATATTGTTATGAATATCATTATACCTTAGTTACGGTATATGCTCACGTATAATAATTGGCTGCTATGTTTTACGCCAAGCAGCAAGTGCTTTCTGTGTCCTAGAGATCTTGGTCACTACATTTTGAAGCTAAAAACTATTCAAGAGTCAGGAAAGATGCTAAGAAAGCCCATCAAGGAAGTATAGTGCAATACTCTTGTTGTATGAGTCTGCTTTCCTCTTTGGGCTATGACAGAGAGTCAAAAACTGATTGTTCTGGCTATCCCAGACTTCTGAAGTGTTCAAAATATCTTGCTATAGTAAAGAACAATTTATATGAAGCCTCTCATAGTCCTGAAGTGAGCACATTGTACAAAACTTTTTTATGGCAAAGCAGCTCTACTTTGTACATCAGCCATTGGAACTCTGCATAACTTTGATGTAAAACATGGCAGATGAAAACTCATTTGTATTATTTCTTTGTATATCAACCAGATCAGTGAGAATGAGATGCATGATATTCATAAAAATTTTAATGATATTCATTTGGATACCATAAATGAAAAAATTATTCTGGCCGCCATGTTGGGGGTATACTTTGTACAGTCTTCAACGAGGAAAAGGTTTTATTTTACCGTTTTTCCAACAAAGCAAAGGAGCTACATCCAGAGAGAAAATATTTCAAAATTAATCTTCCTTTCTTTACCACTGCAACAGTCAGGAGCCTCTAAGTTGCATGGAGAAACGGATCAGGCCCATTTTAGCCTTTTGGCCCAATGGTTACTGTATAGTTCATACCCCCAAATGGCAGCCAAGAAATTCTGTTGTTTTTAAAGTATCTCTATGAATATCATTAATCTAGTTAACGGGGATCTGATGGATAGAATATACGGTATCACAAACTAATTCTTGCCTAAGGGGGTCTACAGTCATTGGTTTTGCATTGTTCAGACTTAAACCAAGAGGGCAGGGTCTGCATGTCCAGAAATTGTCATTGCACGGGTGGACATTTAATAATAATGATATTCATGGATAATTATGATGTTTTAATTAACCATTACCATAGTAACAAAATGGCGGTCTGGTGAAAAGAGCATTATTGTCGATGATAACTTACTTTTGAGGAGAATTAGCCTTTAAGGGAAAGAAAGATCAGTTGCATAACAATATAATTATCACTACAAAATGTCTGTGAGGTTCTAATTTGCAAGAAAATGGCAGACGAAGGACATTTGATGGGAAGAGTTATGATAGCTCCAAATACAGCCAATTCAGACTTCAAGAGACAGAAAACAGCCTCATCTCCTTGAAATACTTGTTTGCTAGGCTTTCAGATCACTTTGGTACTCTTAATATGGTATAAGATGCAACCACAGTCAATCGGATTGCAAAAACTTCTCGTGTTCAGCCATAAAAGTCCATGGCTTATCATAATGCAATCTCCTTAATTTTTATACCATAATATAGCAAACTCTATTTGTTAGTCCTAAGTGAAACGAAGGCCATTTATGAAAAGAAATAAAATTACATTGCTTTACATTTGGAAAAAAACAATACGGTACATGTAAGTGAACGTAAAATGGCGGCGTAAATAGTCCTTGTCTTTGAGCTAAGAAGTCCACACTTCAACATAACATATGAGCATAAGTTGTAGCATATAGTATGCTAAGTGAAATGAAGCTTGTTCCTGCTTTAGTGATTCAGGAGAAGAGTGAAAAGCTACTCTTCTATTCATGTTACCTACATTTAGCTTTCAATAATTTATGAAGTTTTACTGAAAAATTAAGTTCCGTGTCCTCTAATTTCTGGACATGGACTATGCTTGTAGGTAACAAGAGATATTCTTGATGATGATGGAATTATATGGTCATACATCAGCTACATCAAGTGTACAGTATAAGTCAAACCCAGTATTACATGTACTGTATATGATATGTATTGGGCCAGGCGTTGAACAAAATTGCAGGAATTATCACAAAATCTAGCAAGTCACCGCCACCCACTTCAATACTATCAGCTATACAATATAAAGTTAGTACCTTGTCTTGAACTGGTTTAAATTTTGAATTCATTTTCAAAGTAACAGGAACTAAAAAAGCTTTTATTAATCTTTCCACTTCTCGGTCATCAGCTGCCAAACCAAACATGAGGAAAGCCTTTTCAAGTAGCTCTATCAATATTGAGAGTAGATCAGTTGGTTCACTCCAGTCTGCAGTCAATATTTAATTACTATTATTATTACTTACCAATGTCTTGCTGATAAGCACCATCCATTTTGTGACTGCTAATTGGTAAAGTTGAGTATGAGTTGGAAGGAAAAGGAAATGGGTGGATAAAGGAAGTTAGCCGCCCACGCAGCGAGTGAAGTGGAATCATAGCATCTATGGTTTAAAAAAATTAAAAAAAAAAACAAGATGAAGCCACGGTAGGATTCTAGCTCGGAGTCTAGAGCAAATTCGCAAAAAAGTAACAGAAACAAGGACAAGTATAATTCCGAATAACCAACGAAAATACAAAATGAAAATTATGACTGATATACATACTCCACCACCAAACTGTGATCATGTTTCTTCCATCGCAGTGTTCAGTGCCGCCGCCGGGGTGAAGAGGATGAAGTGTATCGTGTGCTTTCTTCTCTAGATGGTTCGAAAGCACTGGGTAATGATGGTATTGGGCCTCTTTATCTCAAGAAATGTGCAGTGGCCTTAACTCCCCCTATATATAACTCATTAATCTCTCGCTCTCTTCACACTCTTTACTCGCACTGACTGGAATCATTGTGGAGGACCCACCTTATGATTTAACCATAGATACTATATACCCCTGGATATGAAACACGGCCCGACCGGATGTTCTGAGGCTTGTTTCACCGGAAATACGTCATAATAATTATTACGTTTTCATTCAGAATAAAAATAAAACAATGATAAAAAGTATTATTATTGCTAATAAAAGTGTGATTTTATGTACAATAATACAATAAAACTTGACATTTATCATGCATTATAATTGCTGAAACTTTCCTTTTCTTTTAGTATATGCAGTCTACCAATGCATGACTTTCCCATCTCTTGTCACCTAAAAATGATGATTTTGACAACACAATTGCACCAAAACTAAAAATACACTCCTTTTGAGAATAGGCCCACTATATACAACTACCTATTCTCAAGCTACAAAACCATATAGAAAAAGTTCCAATTAAGTCAAGTATAACAAAGAAAAATTGGCTAGAAAGGTGGGGCAGGCTTGAAAAACCAAGATTTAGAAAATAACAGCTCTTTTACTTAACACAAACTCTAAATAATAACCCCACTACAACTAGTAAACAATAACCTATCAGTACAATAAAAAATGTTGGCCTAATTCAACAGAGTTAAGCTAAAAAAGTGGCTTGAGTGAAATGTACACAACAAGTAGGCTATGACATCCATTGTAGAACTAAAATATGCACTCAAACTATCGTTTATGAGCATTATTTCAATATATAAAGGCTTTGCAAAGTCCTCTGAGGGATCATTCAGCTACTTTAACAAACAAATAGGCTACTGTGATTGTTTTACTTACCCTGGCAGCCATGAATGCAGCGAAACAAGGGTGAGGACAGCTGGATGTGACGTTTATGACGTTTCCTTATGGGATTTTATATGTGTGCATAGAGGAGTTTCGTATCCAGGGGTATATAGTATCTATGATTTAACCCATATTCAAAATCTGGGGACAAATGTAGTGTTACCAACTATAGACCTATTAGTCTACTTCCAGTTATATCCAAGGTGCTGGAGAGGATAATCCTAAATAAAATTTCTGATCACATTTGTAAGTATAGTTTCTCCACTTCTACCATCCCGTTCTCCTATTCAATAGTTATTATCTCTTACAAACATCATTGACCAAGCTTTTCAAAGTAATAATTCAGTTGACTGTATCTACCTAGACTTCAAAAAAGCATTCGATTCAGTCCCCCACAATAAGTTGCTCTTCAAATTATGGAAGTTCGGATTTACTGGAGAACTATGGGAATGGTTTCGTGCCTGTTTGTCCTCAAGACAACAATGTGTTAGCATTGATGATACTTTGTCTGGGTTCCTTCCTGTGCTGAGTGGTGTTCCTCAGGGTAGTGTCATTGGACCAATATTTTTTCTTATATATATTAATGACCTTTCCCTCAGTGACACATTACCATCTAACCTTCTCTTATTTGCAGATGATTCAAAATGCTTCAATAGGATTAAATCTGTTGCTGATTGCTCTCTATTGCTGGAGAAATTGAATGAAGCTATGAAGTGGAGTGACGAGTGGGACTTGAAATTTAACATCAAGAAAACGGCTGTAGTAAGGTTCTCTAAGAAAGGTTATGCTCCTCCATCCTTTGACTACGAAATGCAGGGAGATATCATCTCAGTCTCTCACACTACTACAGATCTTGGTGTGCATTTCTCATCTGATATGTCGTGGTCTCATCACATTTCCATCATTATTGCAAGAGCTTATAAGATGCTCGTCTTCTTAAGAGATCATTCTCCTGCACTGATATATCTATTGGAAAACGTATGTACATTTCTCTTGTTCGATCCCAGTTATCCTATGGATCACAGATGTGGCAACCATCTCTTATTAAAGACTCTATGAGGCTTGAGAGGGTTCAGAGAAGGGCTTCCAAGTTCATACTGTTGGACTATACCTCTACCTATAAAGACAGGTTGATTCAACTAGAACTTCTTCCTCTTGGTATGTATCTGGAGTATCCGGCTGGACATATCTTTTATGCTTCAGTGTCTCAAAGATGCTGGTGTGGACAACTTAAATCTTAATTCATATGTATCCTTTGCTAGTAGTGCATGGTACCAGGGCTGCTGATCATCATAAACTTTCACATGGTACTCCTCTTTCTACTCACTCCTCGCGATTTTATTTCTACCGCCTCCCAAGGCTTTGGAACAAGCTCCCCTCTTTTGACCTCTCTTTATCAAATGAGACCCTCCGTATCAAATTAAAGAAATTTCTGTGGCTCCATTTTCTGGAGCATTTTGACAGTAACAACCCTTGTTCTTTTTATTTTATGTGTACCTGTAACAAATGTTTGTCTTGTTCTTCTTCTAGTAACTACACTTATTTTTAACTATTCTTCTATACTAATGCTATACTATTGTCACATTTTTATATTGTTTTATTTGTATTCTTTTGGCTTGTGGCTCCTTGGCTACTTGTCCTTCAGGTACTCTTTCCTAACCCCTATTTTTTGTCCTTCCCATTTCTTACCTGTAAAGTGTTTAATAATAATAATAATAATAATAATAAAATCCTACTCTCGTGATGCAAATTCTACTCTACATTATACTTTTAATATTTCTATTTTAAATTACTGATCATCTTGCAATGTAGAGTAGAATTTGTGTCACGAAAGTAGGATTTTCATTTCGTATTTTCGTTGGTTGTTCAGAATCATACTTGTCCTTGTTTCTGTTAGGCTTTTTTCAGTACGAATTTGCTCTAGAATCCTACTTCATCTTGTTTTTATTAATTTTTTATGTTCTTAATAATTGTTTGTGTTGATTTTAAAAATATTTGTAAAATTTTTTTCAGATCGTGACATCATGGTGTCGATTCAGTGCTATTGTGGCGAATAGTTATGCTAATGGAATTCTATACTGATCAGTGTTTAGTGAAGTATGGTATAATAATAATCATGACACAAATCCTTGTTCAACAAGATGACAGTACCCATCTCTTCATTCCAATCCTGTCCTGATGAATGTTGTTTCTATTGCAAGTTCATGATCATTGTATAACATGAATTAATATTATTGCCACGCTTCGTTTTTTTAATACAATTTATTAAACACACATAATAAAACAATGATATCCAAGACTAAATACCTTCTCTTAGTTGGAACTGGAAGCCTGGAACCTCCACTAAGTATTGCACACACATTTTGGAGCACATGCTTTATTAATTAACAAAATGGCTGAACGAGGCCAAGCTGGGCTGGGGGTGATAGAGAGAGCCGGGCAACTTTATCTTATTGTTAGAGTTATTAAAACAGTTGTGGACCGCACATGGATAGTTGGAGTAGAATAGTGTAAAAATTAGCCTTGTAGTGTTGCCGGACCAAAGACCATGATACCCTCCATTAACTGGATTGTCAGAAGATGATGAAGACGAAACAAGTCAGCCTGGTAGCAGTGTAAAAATATCTACAATTGTTCAGTCTCACCACCTTGCAAGTACAACTGCATGGGTTCTTATTAAGACTTATGAAGGTTCTCTCTACCTTCTAATGCTTCTAGAGAAGTCTTTAGACAGGGTATCTCTATGTTCTTTTGCTGTTAGGAAGCTCATAAGTTTGTCCTGTGTACAAGCCATTACAGACAGAAGGTTAGCATCTAGTAAAACCCCGTATTTCGGGGATATCCTGAAGACACGTGTTCCATTCCTCATGTTAAAAACTTAAAATTCCTTATGTCTGCTTGCAATCTGTGTGAAAGGACTTTTGCACATAAATCGAGTCTGTCAAGGCATGTGAAAACTGTTCACGGGGACACCGTGGTAGAGAGTGGCTCGGTGTTTTGTAATGAATGTCATGACAGGTAAATAATGTAATGTAGTATCCTAGGACCTAGAAATTAATTTTGTAAAATACAAGCACACTTCAGATTCTATAATTACATTTTGGATTAGGTATCTCTATCAGTACAAGCAAAATATAGACTGCCTTAGTGCCTTACTTTAGAGAGCAATGAATATTTTAATACTTATATTTTGTTACAAGCACTTGTGTGCTAATGATAATGGCGTGACACTGAAATAAATAATTTGGTTGAGTTTTATTTTAGCCATTGGCAGTTCGCAAGCAAAATTGCCAATATTAAAGCCGCCAATCATTAATGTAATGCACGTGTACACAAAAATCGCCAGATTAAAAACAGCCAATTACAATTTTATAGCAAAATTGCCATAATAAAGCACCACCAAAATAAAGCGCTAAATTAAAAAAAACAAGATGAAGTAGGATTCTAGAGTAAATTTGTAAAAAAGTGACAGAAACAAGGACAAGTAGGATTCCGAACGACCAACGAAAATACAAAATGAAAATCCTACTCTGGTGACGCAAATTCTATTCTACATTGTACTTTCTATATTTTTATTTAAGAAATTACAGATCATCTTGCAATGTAGAGTAGAATTTGCGTCACGAGAGTAGGATTTTCATTTC